CTTGAAATGGGAGGTAGACATATGCAGGAAAAAAAAGGAGGGAAAAAGGATGGCATACGCTGACAGTTTTACACAAATCATCTGAAAGGTGGGTTCAAAAAAAGTAGAGTGTATATAAGGAATGGGTAAATGGGTGGAAGAAGGCATCAGTTACAGCTTTTCCCCTTTATTTGATTCTATATTTCTTTTCGTTCGCTTCCGCTAACAAATTCCTATATACTTGGCATCTTTCAGTAATACCATGATGAAGACCGTGGTCCTTCTCGCCCTCTTCGGCTGCTCTAACGCCTTCCTCTTCTCACTCCTCGGCCTCGGAGGCGGCGGCAGCGGTGGCGGATGCTGTGCTCCAAAACCAGCTTGCGGAGGAGGATGTGGCGGTGGAGGCGCCCCAGCTGGTGGAGGTTACGCTGTTGCTCCAGCAGCTCAAGCTGCTTATGCTCCACCACCCCCACCACCACCACCACCAGCGCCAATCGGTGGTGGATATGCTGGAGCTGGAGGTTTCGGTGGAGCCGGAGGATATGGAGGATCTGGAGCCGGAGGATCATACCAAGCCGCTCCAGCTATTGGAGGAGGTGGTTTCGGAGGAGCCCCACAAGGTGGTTACGCTGGAGCCGGAGGATTCGGAGGATCGCAAGGAGGAGCTGGAGGTTACGCTCAAGGAGGACAAGGAGGAGCTGGAGGTTACGCTCAAGGAGGACAAGGAGGATTCGGAGGAGCTCAAGGAGGACAAGGAGGATTCGGAGGAGCTCAAGGAGGACAAGGAGGATACGCTCAGGGAGGACAAGGTGGATTCGGAGGATCCCAGGGAGGAGCCGGAGGATACGCTGGAGCCGGGCAAGGAGGATTCGGAGGGTCACAAGGAGGATCTGGAGGATACGCTCAAAGAGGACAAGGTGGATTCGGAGGAGCCTCCCAAGGAGGAGCCGGAGGATACGCTCAAGGAGGACAAGGTGGATTCGGGGGAGCCTCTCAAGGAGGAGCTGGAGGATACGCCGGAGCTGGACAAGGAGGATTTGGAGGAGCTCATGGAGGACAAGGAGGATACGCTGGCGCCGGACAAGGAGGATTCGGAGGAACATCCCAAGGAGGAGCTGGAGGATACGCCGGAGCCGGACAAGGAGGATTCGGAGGAGCGCAAGGAGGACAAGGAGGATATGCCGGAGGCGCTCAACAAGGAGGACAAGGAGGATACGCTGGATCTTCCCAAGGAGGAGCCGTCGGATACGGAGGACAGGTCGCTCAAGCCATCGAAGGAGGAGCTGGATACCAACAATCTGCTGTGAGCTCCGGAGGACAACAACAATACCAACAACAGCAGACCGCTATCGTCTCTGCTCCAGCCCCAGTCCAACAGCAGACCTACCAGGAGCAAGCTCCAGTTCAGGCACAACAGGAGACCGTTGTTCAACAACAAACTTTCGAGGCTGCACCAGCTCAAACTCAAGTGAGGCATTAGTTATCGATGTGTAGATTCAAAAGGTTTAATTTTCAGGAATACTCATCCCAGGCCACTGAACAAGTCGTCGAGACCTCCGCTTCTGCTTCCAGCGGATACCGCAAGCACCTCTCCAAGGCTTAAGCTACGATTTTAAGTCTTAGCCTTAAATCTGTCTGTACATTTTTTAAATTTTTTCTCATTTTGTCGGAAATCTCGACAGCTCTCTCTTATGTTTAGTCTCTTCTTGATTAGTTCTATAAAAAAATGTTCTCAAGGTTCTTTGAAACATGTTTACACTTTTTCAAACAATTAAAAATACAAATGACAAGTGGCACGTGGAGAGAGAGAGAGAGAGAGAGAGAGAGAGAGAAATGCAAGTTTTAAGGTCACTATTATTATTCTTGGGGTTTAGAAACCGATGATCAACCTCCGGAAGTGTGTCCCCAAGTGGACATTCTTTACGAGAGAAAAAAAACATTTCGAGTGGAGTTAGAGGACACGTGAAAGAATGTTCAGGAATTTAGGTAATCAGAGAATACATGGATTTTTGGTTTAAAGGAACTGGAAGGTTTGGAAGTTATAGGGGCTAGAAGGGTCTTTATTTAGTATTTGCACTTTGAGCTTAATTATCTCGGCTCTTTCAAAAGATATGAATTTTTTGTCAACTAATAAAATGTTGTTCGTAAAATTACCAATATTTTATTAGTTGACTGAATTTTGATATCTTTCACGGGAACTGAGATAGTTGAACTCACGGTGCCCGTTACGGTGGACTTCTATTAGAATTACCGTATACTCCAATTAAAGTAATTGGAAATTGAAACTGTAAATTTTTATAAAATACTAACTAATGAGTTTCGGCCGTAGCCGCGGCCGGTAGCCATTTTGCACAGCCTTGAGTGTTCCTAAAATAGATGGACCATTCCACAGTTAACTTTGGCTCAATTTATCTCGATTCCTGTAAGAGATATCATAAATCTGTCAACTGATAAAATGTTTGTCATAATTTCGCTAACATTTGTATAGTGCACAACTTTTTGTTATCTTTAACAGGAACTGAGATATAGAAGCTCAAAGTTAGTGAGGTTAATCTATGCAGTTGTAAGGCAGACGATTGATTCTGATGTTTTCGGAAGCATACCCCCTTTCAGGTTTTCAAATGTGGTTGAACTGGACAACAGTTTTTTTTTTGACAAAAACACAAATGTGTACAGTTTCAAAATTTGAAACACAATTTCGGAGAAAATTCCTAAAAATAAAAATTATTAATGAAATGGTAGAAGAATTGATTTTACTTCAGTTGCTTTCAATAACTTGCATTTGACCCGTACTGCTTGCTCCTCGAGACGTAGTTGTTATGAGCAGGGATAGTTTCCATGAAAAACAAATAAAACTAATTTCTCGATTCTTCAATTACCGTAATACACTCTAATAGAATGACCCCTGGCTTTCAACTTTAAGCCAATTTACCTCGGTTCCTGTGAGAGATATCAAAAAGTGGTTGATTGATAAAATGTTTATCATAACATCAAAAATATTTCGTCAATTGACTACTTTCTGATATCTTTCATCGGAACTGAGATAATTAACTATAAGCTCAATGTTGACGGTTTGGGAATAACTCTATCATAGTGTTTACGGTATCTACTCACTCCTGATAACAGATTTGTATTCGGTGACAATCAGCATGAACCCAACACTATCGAACGGTGGGAAAAAGCCAACAATCGGATATATAACCATCCCGCCTTGAGTTTGATTTCGATACCAAAATACAGTGATATAAATAGGATCGATAGGATTGGAAGCATCGGAAGGACTAAAAACAAAGTTGGACCAAGACTCTGTATCACCAGAGCACGAAAAAACTGTCGTTGAAGTCTCTGCTGCATTTTTGACATTTTCTCGAGCTCTTTTCGAATGTTGTGATTCATTCTAAGACCGCAGTAAAGAATGATGAAGTAGTGGAAGAACGTAATCATGAGACCTGTTACTATGAAACATACATTTTTTAGTCTGATTCCATTGGATTCTAGTGGAGCGATTACAAAACAAGGTAAGTCTTTGATCTCCAGGTTGTAGTTTTCAAGAACGAAATTCCTGAAAAGCTGCGGTTTAAAAAATGGATAACATTGTCCTTTACAGTAGGTTTTACTCACCAGTGATGGGAGGAATTTCCGTTTCCTTTTTTTTAACATTTTGAATGATAATTTAAGCTCTTGAACATCGACCGAGCAAACCGGAAGTCCAACTCTTTCAATGGAATCGACAGACTTAAAGTTTCAGGTCCAACTTGTTTTGAGAAAATGGAGAAATACAAGAGTTCGTCATAAATACCGTCACCACTTTAATAGAATATTGTCGAATTAAAAAAATTGAGACCTGGAAAATTTCGCAGGCGGTTTCCCGGTCCATTTTCGAGGTCGTGCCTAAAAATCACTGCAGTAGTAAACGAAACTTATTTCTGTGAATTCAGTGGGATTTTCTGGACAAAACTTAGATTTCTTGGTATGAAAATGATCGCTAGCATCTCTAGAATCTGTTTTTCATCGAAAAACCGAACTTTATTGCGAAAGTAACGAGGCGAAACTGGCTTCAAAATGTGTTTTTTTTAAAATACAATATAGTCGCTCCATGTCACCTCTTGTAGCTTTTGATAGAGCTCCGTATTTGCTCTAATAGAAGCCCACCCTAGACATGCACTTTGAGCTCGATTATCTTGATTCCTCTAAAAGATATGAAAATTCTGTCAACTAATAAGCCAATTTATCTCGGTTCCTGTCAAAGATATGAAAACGTTGTTAACTGATAAATTGTTTATCATACTATCAAAAACATTTCATCAGTTGGCAAATTTTTTATATCTTTCAAAGGAACCGAGATAAATGACCTCGAAGTTGAAAGTAGGAGTAGTCGTTCTATTACAGGTTCTAGGTCAGTAAATTGTCCAAAAAAGATTGACCCCGTTTTTCTGTAGTTTTCTAGATCTCTCTACCTTGTTCACGTTTTTTTCTGATTCCTTTTTTCTTCTGTTCCACGTAGGATCTTCAGCAAAGGGTACTGTACTTACTTTTCGAGTCAATCGTTGACTGTCAAACCATTACAACTCAAGTTTCTAGAAAACAATGTTCGCTATCGAATTTTTAATCTATCGAAAGCGTCAAATTGTTTCAACTGTGTTTCTCATCGTGTGGATAGGTTCGATATTCACAACAGATGACGTGGAAATTTGTGAGGTAACCAGTGTGTCCTTTCGACACGACTTCGAGATAATTTTCGAGGAATTCCTTGAGAAATCCCTCGAGTAATTTTTGAAAGTTTGGTTTTCTAGGCCATTACTTAAAAAAGTCACAAACGACACTCCGAAATTCCGCACCGCGCATTGTTTAGCACATTCCTTGAAAAATTTTTTTCGAGATATTTTTTTTCGAGGAATTTCGCAAAAAAAAAATTTCTCGAAAGTTGTTTTTCGAGGAATTCCTTGAGGAATTTGTTTCGAAAAACTGTTTTCGAGAAATTTTTGTCGAAATTTCCTCGAAAGTTTCTCGAAAAAGGCATTTCTCGAGACATTTTTTTTTTTTGAAAAGACGCACTGGAGGTAACCACCCCGAAGACGGAATTTCTAGATATTCAAAGATAATTTTAGGCAAAATGGAAAAACACATCACATGCCTCCTGTCCTAACTTTTGTAAAACACTGGAGAAGAGATTGAAAGATTCATCACAAGAAGGGTAGTTATAGGGAATCTAGACAAGGAAATGCAGGTTTTTTTTCAGTTTTTCGTATGGAACCCTCAATATGATCCTATTCGCCGTTCTTCTCTTCGCTCTCCTGATCTCGTTGTGCATTTGCTTGTGGGACATACTTCGTCAGGAACCAGAATCCACTGAAAGTACAGTACCCCCAACACAAGTGACTCCAAAAGTCGTAGTAGAGGATCCGAAGATGAAAGAAAGAAGTACAAGTATGCCAATAGAGTCATCCTGCGTGTCTCTGACTGGGGTATGAATAGCAAGACTTGAAAAAATACTTACAACGGGCCGGGTCGGGCTTTTTTCAGAATTTTCAGGGCCCGGATTTCAGAAAAAAAATTTTTGGGGTCAATAGAAAAAATGAACAATTTTTCGGTCAAGTAAAAAAATTTTTCAAAATAAGAGTGTCCATAAAAAATGATTTTTTCAAAAAAAAACATCGTTTGAAATGTAGTGTATCTTTGAGCTCAATTATCTCGGTCCCTGTAAAAGATAGCACAAATGTGTTCACTAATAAAATAATTTTCATAAACTCAACAATGTTTTATCACTTGACAGATTTTTGATATCTCTCATAGGAACCGAGATAATTGAGCTCAAATTGTACGTATAAGAGCGGCACATACGGTATCATCTAAACCCGTGATGGAAGGGACTTTCAACTTTGACCTCATTTATCTCGGTTCCGGTTGAAGACATCAAAAAACTTTCAACTAACAAAATATTTATGATATTATGATGAACATTTTATCAGTTGACAGTTTTTAGATTACTCCCATAGGAGCCGAGATAATTGAGCTCAAAGTTCAGGACATCGTCGGTGAAAAACCCAGCTTGGAGGATCCGGTTGCTCCACCAGCTCCACCCAAAGCTGAAAAAAGACTCGGAGCACCAAGAGGACGAACAGAGACACCGGACCAAAAAAGAGTTAGGGAACACGGAGAGAAACGGCGAAAAGAGCACAGGGAGGATGCGGACCAGGGCAATTTTCCCAATAAGGGTCCGATTTATATCCCTAGAGAGCCGGAGGTGAGTTGGGGTACTGTAGATTGAGAACAGTGTGTGCTACTGATAAGGTTTCGTTAAATTTACCGGAATTTTTATCGGTAGTTTATCGGTAATTTACCGGTCAAATACCGGTAAATTTACCGAAAACTATCGGTAATTTTTAGGAAAATTTTCTGTTTTTTTCAAAATGGAGAACATTTTAGAACCGCGACTTTTCAGAACCGCGACATTTTAGAACCGCGACGTTACAGAACTGCGACATTTTAGAACCGCCACGTTTTAGAACCGCCACGTTTCAGAACCGCGACGTTTCAGAACCGCGACATTTTAGAACCGCGACGTTACAGAACTGCGACATTTTAGAACCGCGACTTTTCAGAACCGCGACATTTTAGAACCGCGACGTTACAGAACTGCGACATTTTAGAACCGCCACGTTTTAGAACCGCCACGTTTCAGAACCGCGACGTTTCAGAACCGCGACATTTTAGAACCGCGACGTTTTAGAACCGCGACTTTTCAGAACCGCGACATTTTAGAACCGCGGCGTTTTAGAACCGCGAAGTTTCAAAACTGCGACGTTTCAGAACCGCGACGTTTTAGAACCACGACATTTTAGAACCGCGACAATTTGGTGGGATAATTTCGAAAGTATCGAAATGTCGCCTTAACTGAAAAACTTTCCGCTGTTATTCTGCTACAAAAAAGGTCCCACAACGACAACTACCGTAACCCAAAATATGTTTTTATTTTTGCTTTTTCATTGATTTCTGTCGATTGACTGAAAAAGCAAGAAAATCGATTTTGAAATTCTGAGAATCTGAAATTCCGAGAATCTGAAACTCTGAGATTCTGAAATTTCGAGATTCTGAGATTTAGAAATTCTGAGATTCTGTAATTCTTAGAATTTGAAATTCTGAAACTCTGAGATTCTAAAATTCTGAGATTCTGAGATTCTATGTTATATTATCACAAATCTGGAAAATCCGAAATATTTTTATGTTACTGTAGTTTTCGTTGGGGGACCTTCGGCCTCCGATATTTTTGTACTAGAATGAAAGCTGTCTACTTGTAGTTTGTAGTATTTGTAGTATTTGTAATATTTTTCACATAAAATATAGCAAAAACCCAAACAAAGTGGAAAAAATCTCTAAAAGCAGCTCAAAGTTTGCCCGAATTCTCGAAAAAAATTAAGAAGCTTTTCAAAATTATTTTTTTTGAATTTTTTTTTAAATTTCCGCTAAAACTGAAAATGCTTGTTTCAAGTTTTGTCGGAAATTCAAAAACGAATCTTTCTAGAAATTTCTGGAAACTGCGAATTTCCGCTAAATTCTGAATTTTTGTCGAAAATTCAAAAATCTGTAAAACTTTCCAGTTCCCCCCAGCTGTCGCTCTTCCCGACAACATTATTCTGAAAAACGTGGAATTCGAGCGCAAATACAACGAGATGTACGTCATCGGTTCGGATGTGGATGACATCGAATTGGAGCCGAGTACATTGGCCGAAAGCTCGCGAGCCAGCTCAAGAGTCGATTCGAGAGCCGAAAAAAAGAAGAAGACTACAACGAAATCAGAAACGAATACAAAATCGGAGAAGAGTAAAAATCAGGAGAAGGGAGGAAATAAGAAAAAATCCAATGAACCCCCAAAAAAGTCGTCGGAGACCATGCCAGAGAAGAAGCCATCCAAGGAGACCCTGCCAGAAAAGAAGACGTCGAAAGAGAACGAGAATGCGACACCTGAGAAGAAGAAGACGTCCCAGGAATCGGTTCCAGAGAAGAAGGACGCTAGCTAAACTGATTTGAGCGAGAGATAAATAAAACTATGTTCATTATACCAGAGAAATATTATGCAATTTTAAAAGAGTATGGCATGTATCACAGGAATCATGGGCGGGGCGGGGCGGGGACTGGGAAATCTCAGAATCATAAAACAAACACACAAAGAGAGAACTACAAAACGAAAATTTGAGAAAAATCGAAAATTCGAGATCTGGTGATTTAGAGGGATACAGTATACATTTTGGGAAGACGGTCATGTAAAAAGGGGGCGGAGCCTAACAACGTCTAGAACTTTCTCTACGGCTTCTTAGTGACTCTGTAGGTTTTTGGTGGAAGTGGTGGTGGCGGCGTGTTGACGAAGATCGATGGGGATGTTGGATCGTCGAACGGGTCCGCGGATGATGGTGTGGTGGGGCTGTTCGAGTTGTGGCGGCTGGAAAAGTGAGAAAATCAGTTTCTGTGAAAAACGACCGGCCGGCCGACCGCGCTATGATCGTATCAAGTTTTGGTTTCAAATTGAATGTCAAGTCGTTCAGATTTGGGTCTAAACGGGTCATTTCGGTCGGTACAAAATCAGCGACCGCCAGCCAGCTGGTCGGCCGACCGACCGCCGACCGAGCTATTATCGAAATAAGCTTCGGTAAAATTGAAGGTGAAGTTGATCAGATTTGAGACAAAAGGAGCCGTTTCGGTCGGTCCAAAACTAGCTATCCGCCGGCCGACCGCCGACCGAGCTATGATCGAAATAAGTTTTGGTACCTTTTATTTTACGACGCATTTTTGATTTTGCGAAGTACGCAAACACTCTCAGGCATGTTGACGCGCAATTTCAAAAATTCGGTTAGCGGTCGGTCGGCGGTCGCCAATTTCGATCGACCGCGAAAATTCGAAAACCAAATTGACTAGATTTAGGACTAAAAGGGACATTTCGATTGG